ACAGTTTAAACAACTCCAAACTACAAGTACTAACATAAAGTGTCATGGACAATCCCCATGCTCACTCAAATAAGGCAACATGCCCAACATCAGTCTCAACAACAACATATCATAAATAGCGGAAAACATAAACAGCATCCAAATCCAGTCATGCTAACATAAAGCAGTAAAACATAATCAGCTAAGCTCCGGCCTCCTGCCGCCTGAGGCATCAGTACCCATACTACCTGATCCTGAAATAAGCATTCCACAAACGTGGGGTAAGATCTCTAATCTAGAAATCTCAGTAAGTCAGTGAGTCCTCAAGGATCTTCCACCCCAAGCTCACTTACATGTGCAATATAAGTTCAAAAGCAGTTTATCATTTATCATTTCTAAAACAATGCAATGCAGCAGAATGTGTGTCAATACTAATCTACTGGCCAGAGACAGTGCAGGTATACGTCTATCACCTACACACCGTTCAAGTACCACTTGCATTCACCCCGGTACACCGTCTTGTATGGCGCTACATACTCAGGTTTCCCGTCAAGATGAAACAACACATGCATATTAAAAGCCATTACATGTAAAGTTCAATCAACATATCAAATATCCAAAAGCATGTACACAGCATGCATAAACCATACCCCCATGGGACATGGTGGAACCACAACATGGCTAAACCGAGGACACGAAAGCTTACCTTGCAAGCTAGCTCCAAAAGCCAAGAGTCCACAGCTCAAAGTCCAAACACAGCAGATTCACAATCTGTTATGGACCAACAATACATCAACAACATGCACCACAAGCATACAATATTAAGACAACGCCTTTCCTTACGTTTTCAAGTCTTAAAGCTTCTAACAAAGCCACAAGCCCTTAATCCCATGATTCTGGCTTAGTCCATTAAATACAGAAGTTCAACTTCATCAATCTAGGGTCCACAAACCCCCAATAGCCTACTGTACACACAACACAGCTACTGTTCTACGAAAACCCAGAATATCCGGATATTCCTCGGGACCATATCCTGATATGCAATATCCGGATATCTCACTGGACGTATCCGGATATGCAATATCCGGATATCCAGAATCCCATATCCGGATACCTAGTATCCGGATACTCAAAACCCATATCCGGATATCACATATCCGGATATTCATCGGGCACATATCCGGATATTTCACGACAGAATGCAGAAAATGCATTTCGTGAAGATATCCTTCCAAGGTTGGGTTTTTACCGATTTTAAACACCTCAACATGCATTTCTAGGTGTGTTCAACATTACCCCACAACAAGTTATCATCTTTTGACCTTAACATGCATCAAGCTTTCATTTTTAAGCATTAAACTCAAGATCAAAGGTTGGTATACATACCAAAGGCTTAAAACAGAGAAGGAGATGCTCTTGGAGCTCAACACAGCCCCTCAAGTCTGACTCAAGAAAGATGCACGAAAATGGCTTCACAAGGGTTGGTTCTTCTCACCAAAGGTCACCACTTGGACCTCCAAAATGCCATAACTATGGCTTTCAGCAACCACACCACCCAAAACCAGCACTCTCACCCACACACAGAGGATGGAAACTCAGAATACACCCTCACACTTCCTCACCATGCATGTTCTTAAGTGTAAACAAGCTCAAAGAGGGAAGAAATCAAGTAAAGGTGACAACTTGAGTTCAAAAATGGTGAAAGGAGGCAATGGAACAGTAAACCACCCTCAGCCCACCAAGTGCCTCACGTAGGAATTCTGGTATGCCTAGGGTTATGTGCTAAAATGCATATATATAGCCACTTAGCCATAAAACACACAGTATTAACTTTAATTGCTACGCTTAGCATTTTAATCCCAAACTTTGGATTATGAAACTACATAATTTTCTAAGATTTATCATATTTTTCTTATAATTTTCTGAGCACTTTTCCGATACGCGCTTTTCCAAGCCAGTATTGGTTTCCAGCACCAGTTCTCATTATCTGGACTTGAAACTCGTTTTACAAGTCCTACATATTATTCTAGTAATTATCATGCACTTACATTAATTTTCCGGGATACTTTTTCGGCACGCATTTATACCGACTAGCAGAACCGGTATCTGCACTTTTCTTCCGAAAAGCGACTTTCAGCATTATTACTCACTAACTATAATTATTAAAGCCTCATAATAATTATTAGAGTCAATTATGGAATCATTTCTATTTTCTCGCAATTTATTAATTAAATACCTTAATTAACGGTGCGGGTTCTTACACTGAGCTAATGCAATTATGATACTTGGCAATATTTATTAGTGGATACAAAGCGAAAAACAGTATTAAATGGAATTAAAGGACATGCTTTTGATGAGCAAATTGAGTTGCGAAGGTGATTCTGTTATTTGATTAACTTTCTTATGGGAGCAATTCTAATTGCAATTCAAATTTGCAAATCATAACATTTAACAAATTTTAACCATATATTCAGATTGCTGTTACAATCTAAAAAATTCAAATTGCACAAACCAATAAGAACAAGAGAAAATATCAGTACACCCTTTCTACAAAAGGAATCATATTATTGCTATCAATGGTAAATGGCATCAAGAACAGAAAAATCAAAGCGATTATTGTATGGATCCTGAAGGCCTATCTCATCCCCTTTCTTTAAGCCTCTTCTTGATACAAAATCTTTAACTCAATTCCCAATAAAAACATAGTCTTGAAGAAACCCATTTCTTGAAAACTAAAGAATGAATGGAGGCAGTGTCCACATCCCAAATCTCAACTTGAACACCTTTTTCAACATCACCATCCAACACCGGCACCACCAAATTCTCAGCCAAATCTTTAGAGAACAAGAGCCTGCTCATGTTGGCAAGATCACTGCAATTGAGGACTTTCTTGATCTTCCAGGGATAATCACAAAACATCAAATCGGTTGAGTAACCCCAACTTCTCTCTCCACAAACCTTCTTTCTTGCAGCAATAGAAGTTTCTTCAGAAATCTTCCTCTTCTTGGTTAAAGAAACAGAGTCATCTTCATTGGTTGTGTTGCAATGACACTTACCAAGTGACAAATGAGTACACACCATTGTATTACAAGGACACCTATCAAGTGATAAATGAGTACAGAGACCAACGTTGTTGTCGTATGCCATTGTTGACAATAACACAGTTGGAGTTTGGTTTCTTGAAAGCTTTATGGTTTTTCTGTTATGACAATAACACAGCTGGAGCAGCTGGTTATGTAACGTTCTTATTCTATTTTATAATTTTTTTTTATCTATTTAAGTATAATTTATATCTTAAATAGTTTTTATTTAAAATATGGAAAAATACAAAATTAAATTATACGAGTTGAGCACTTGTATATTGTGAAAGTATCAGAACAAAAAATTATTGATTGATTACAAAAATGTCGATTCACATTGATTTTTAATTATTAAACTAAGAAAAATAGTACACAACTCTCGATTTTTTTTCTTCTCTACACTGGTAATATTAGCATTTTCTAGCTTAATTGTTACAAAATATTAATAAATTTGAATTGTTAGCATTTGTTAATAATAATAATAATAATAATTCACATGTAAAATTGAAAATTTAAAGAAATAAAAAGAAAAAGAAATTAAAGGGGTGTGTTGAATTAAGGGCTTTTGCTATTTCTTTTTATTAAAAAAATAATGGATTCGGTCTAGTTATTTTCAAGATATATTTAAAATATTCAAACCTTTTTTATGGTTAAATCAACGCAACAAAAATTTCTAATTTGTTCCTCCGTTTATAGTCCATTATTTTATCGCAAGGTACAGCAAATAATAAAAATGATTATTTGAAAAAAAATATATGAAATAATATACAACTTGCACAAATAATAAGGAATATAATAAAGGGAGCCATGTAACAATATAAAAACTACAATTATTCAATAAGACATAAAAATTTTCAAATGCTAAATTGAACTCAAATCAGTTTATATAAGGCATAATGTTTAATCCAAGATATAATTATTCGGGTTAAGATATTATGTTTATTTTTTTACATATCTACTCATCTCTAAAATCATTGGATAAGAATTTCCAGAGGAGGGAGAAAAAATGAAAGTTACTTGAAATTATGATCTAATAGTGTAGAAGATGAGTATGTAAAGTAGGCATGAAAAAAATAAAATAAAATATCTTATCTCTAACCATACAATAAGCTCCTAGTTACATAATACGTTCACTTACATTATTTTTAGACTCCGTCTAGAAAAAAATTAACAACAAACTTAAATTCTGATTTATACATAAGTCATGGTATAAACTACAAAAATTCAGGCATTTTGTGGGGGTCATATTTTCATATTGTGAGGATTTTTGACCCCCACAAAATATATTTGTGGCATCCACAACAACCCCCAGTTTTGGCATCCACAATAATTTGTTTGAGTATTTTCTGGAGGTTCCAGACCACTACAAATGTTGCACTTTCTGTAGATTCAAGACCCCCACAAACGTTTTATTATTTCTGGAGGTTTACAAACCTCCACAATATGTTTGACTTTTCGTCTTTCAAAGACCCCCACAACATTTATCATTTTCGGGAGGTCATAGACTGCTATAATTTTTTTTTTTTTTTTTTTGTAGGTTTAAACCTCCACTAAATACTAGTAATCCAAATTTGAAAGATTTGTATATCATAATTTTGGAATTGGGCCCAATCAATTGATTTGTTAGCCAATTTATTATTTATTTGTTTGATCTCTTAACATTTCCTTGAAAATAATTATTAAATACTAGTTATCCAAAAGCAACACTATAGCACACCAATCATAGTTCATATTCATGTTTGCACTTGGTTAATACTTTTTTACATAAGTAAAAATATAAATACACTTTAACACCGATATACTATAATATGAAGTTGAACTAATATCTAGCAAAACAAAAACTTACATAATATTCTCTTATCTAATGAAGGGCATAACAACATTCAGAGTAGAATATGCCTCACTATAATTTTACACATTCATAAAAGAAATACAGTTTATTCAATGTTGTGTAAATGAGAAAGAGTAGAAAATTTACAATTATCCACAACAAGAACATAAAATAAATCCATTTTAAAACTCTAAAATCCATACGAGTCTCTAATTATGCACTTATCATTTTACAGAACCCAAAATCATAGCAAAAATATTGAATTCACATAACCCAATTCAAGGGTGATTACTATCTAAAGAAGATCTTCCGCGTGTTGGGATAGCTTCTTCACTTCCTCCATCCTGTGAAAAACCAATTTATTGTACCCTTTTAGGGTGCTTAAAAGAATACGGCACTTAAACTAATAATATGAAGTTCAACATTAAAATAAACTAATATGAAATCATTACCTCTAGCGTTAAAGCAGTACCAAACAAAGCATCAACTCTGGACGAATAATAGTCAAGTATAAGAAATTCTTTAAAAATATATAATCAAATCAATGCTAGTGTATGAATGAAAGAAAAATAAAATAAAATAATAAACCACCAATATTTATACATCTTAGTGCCTGAGCCAATATCTGGCTGCAACTCAGGGGGACAATAAAAAATAAGAAGACAAGGAGTCTAGATTTCATGCAAATTTACAACTTCAGCAATCATTGCAGTCGATGAAAAGATTAATACATTGCTCGTATGTCTTAAAGGATAAAAGGAGCTAAAGGTTGCAAGATAGAATACTAAAAGCTCAAGCCCTTTGTTATTATTACTAATATTGAGGTGGAGGATTGGACTTTGAGAAGGTAGAAAATCATGCCAAGCAAATGCTTCCTCCAAATAAAGCTCCAATAGTGACCAAACTTACTAGGAGCAGAAAATTTATACACATATAAGTGAAGTGGTAATTTGATCTCATTTGGAATCTTTATGACATGAATTATAACCCTTGATGTATAAAAAGAAAAACTAATTGAACATGTGACAGCTCCAAATATAAATAATCCTTCAGATCCTTTTTCCTCTCATCTCTTGATTACCTATCTACCGGTCAAATGTTTCACTGGTAATCCTTCTCTCTCTCTTCACTCATTATATCTTTCTCCCTTCCCTAGTTATTGCATTAATATCAAATTTAAAATTATCTGTCTATAGTATACTTATGAGACGAGCTGAACAAATTAAACAGTTTTTTCTTATAAAAGGAAATAAGTTGAACAAATAAATGTTATCACATACAGTCAATAAAATAATTTCCATCACTTGCAATTTTAACACCAGAATACAAACAGTTGCATTGCAGCCGACGATTAACTACCAAAAAACACAACAGCAAGATTGAATAGAGCTGTGGACCATTAACTAAAACAAGTCACATTATCTGAGAAAGGAACAATGACAGATTCAAAGTGCCGTCATATTGTTTACATAAGAAGAAATAGATGTAAAAGAGCTTCCTTTCTGAATAGAAATATTGGCATGCATCTCATGTATTGCTAATTGTAAAGAACCTTGGGATACACCACCCCAAAAGATAACTCAAAGGGTGGGAGTGCCCAAGACCTTATAAACTCCACATTAGTTGCATATACAACCAATGTGGGACTATATATCTCAACACGCCCCATGACACGAGAGCCCATTGGGCTTGAAGAGTGGACAATGCAACAGACCCAGCCTACCTGTGCTAAGAAACTCGACAAGAGAAAGTGGGGGACGACGAGGCTCTGATACCATGTAAAGAACCTTGGGATACACCACCCCAAAAGCTAGCTCAAAGGGTGGGAGTGCCCAAGACTTTATAAACTCCACATTAGTTGCATATACAACCAATGTGGGACTATATATCTCAACACTAATCATGCCTTCCTGCTCATCCCTCCATTTAGTTGAATGCTTCTAGATGATCCAACTACCCAGACCTTTAAGTGCTATTTCCCAGCAGTTACAATAAATTTTGCATCTAATGAGAAGCTAACACTTGAGACAGTAGAACAAGATAAAGTTGCTAGAAGCTTTGTTAACAACTCACCACTCCGCCAGTCCCAAAGGTAAATATATCCCCAACAGATACCAGATGCTTACCTTAGACAAAATACTATATAATGAGTAAGAAGCAGTGAGTAATAAAATTCAAGACAAGCATATAGATTCCTAAGGTGTAACCAACCATTGGGTGAGAAACAGATGCATGCAACTCCATATAGATGATCTTTCAGTTTGGAGGCAATGGCCAAAGTAGAAGAGTCACATACTAGTACTGAGGACTGGCTCCATGCCTGCAAATCCTTGTTAGATTCTTGTAAAAAGTGTAAAAAATGAAGCCATTATATGTTATTCTCAATCTTTTCCATATCCATACTAGTATTGAATGAGGAATGCTCCTTTCATGCATGAATCAAGTTCATTTACTGATGACATAACCGTCGTGAGCATGATATCTTTGCTATCATACTCAACTTAAAAAGTTTCTAGTTATAATGGTTATTTAACTATTATGTTAAAAGCTCATCATGCACCTATTGGTTTGCCTTACCTATAATTAATTCACCCATATAGTGAGGAAACATTTCAATACCGTTGTAAATGCAAAATATCATATGATGTAAGATGTTTCAATTTCATAAAATTTTGTAAAATATAAAAAAAATATTTTCAAATGAAATTAGAAACTATGAAAAAATCATAAACCCGATACCTTCCTTTCCAGTGGGAAGGAATAAAAACTATAATGAAATTAGTGTAGAATATGACAACTCCAGAAGCCTAAAAAACAAAAACATAAGCAGTTTCTAGCTCGATTACCGCAAGAGACAAAAAGTGTAAGAGTTTGTGATCCCGAAAATCAAGATGCCCTTGGTTATTTAGTCCTAAAAAAATTCCCACACATAAAAGTAAAATAATTGTTCGAACACATTCAAACATAAGCAACACCTAAAAGAGCGATTACGCATTGATTTGGAAACACACACACAAACACAACTCAATACTGGTCATTACACAAATTAACAGCAAATTTTTACTTCGCTTACCGTTTCTAGCTCGATTTTCTCGAGAACGAAGGGATCCCTAATCAAGCAATCTTGAAGATCATCTTCAGCTTCGTGAAACTTCGTTTCATGATCTCATTGGATATTAGAGAGAGAAAGAGTGAGGACTTATTCATTATTTAGAAAAAGAAAAGGAATAAGAATGAGAGGGCAAGCTATTCTCCAAGAAAGTGAAAAAAATTCACAAAAACATAAAAAAGGAAGAGATGTAAAATTCAAAAGCCAAGTAGTAAATATAATGAGAAATTGAAGCTGAGTGAGTTGCCATTGCCATAATCATCGATCCAATGACTCTGGGTTTCGAAGGATAGGAGAATGAAGCTCTCTGTTAAGAGAGAAACCTCTTTTAAAAAAATAAATTATAAAAAAATTAGAAAATATAAATTTTTTAAATCTGTTTGTTGTGTTTGATAATATATTGAAAGTGAATATAAATGATAAAAAAAAATTATATCTTTTCAAACAATTTAAAATATCAAAACACGATGTCAAATTGTGGAAGTTTAAAACCTGCCAAAAACTAAATCATTTAGTGGAGGTTTTTTTGACCTATACTAAAAAATCTCCAATCTTATATATTAGAAAGTAAAACCGTTTGTTGAAAACTTTGATGACGTGTCGCGTTTTCCTTCAATTTCAGCTTTGTGTTCACACCTATATGGTGAATGAGATGATATAATAAAATGTCTTAACTTTTAAATGACCAAATATTTGTCTTTAGCCTTCTTTGGAAAGATCCAAAAGTTGCAACAAAGAAACAAAAGTATACAACGAGCAATGGCAAAAAGTATACAACGAGCAATGGCATAATGCGTGGATCATCCCAGCCTTTTGGCAAGTTCTGTCTTTTTTCCTCCTGTGTGTTATCTGTGCTCTTTGGGCACAATCTCAAAATTCAACACGGTAAATTTTTTCTTTTATCTTAAAGTCCTTCTGTAACACCCCGTATATATATCCGGTAATGTTATCATACTATCGTATTAAGCAGCGCTTAATTAAAAATGCGGAATATCTTTTTCTTTTCAATTATGATGTCATTATCATTACCAACTTGCTTATTAATCAATTAATAAAACATCGCCTGTATGTAATTGTAATAAAACAGCTAACTGAAATACCTCAAAACATAGATAATATAAGTGTGTCTCTAGAAATCACGGGACTACCCACAAGTAGGCCGGACCAACTAGCAGGTTATATAACTCCAATCTAAAAGTACTAACAGCAAGTGTCATGGACAATCCCCATGCTCACCCAAATAAGGCAACAAAGCCCAACATAGTCTCAACAACAACATAATCATAAATCGTGGAAAACATAAACAGCATCCAAATCCATTCATGTCAGCAATACAACATAAATATCATAATCAACTAAGCTCTGGCCTCCTGCCGCCAGAGGCATCAGTCCCCATACTACCTGAACCTGAAATAAGCATTCCCCAAACGTGGGGTGAGATCTCTAAACAAGAAATCTCAGTAAGGCAAGGGGTCCTCAAGGATCTTCCACCCCAAGCTCACTTATATGTGCAATATAAGTTTAAAAGCAGTTCATCAATATCATTTCTAAAATAGTGCAATGCAGCAGATAATCATGTCATGTGTGTCAATTCTATTCTACTGGCCAGAGAAATACAGGATTTATATACGCCAAATACCCACACATAGTGCAAGACGCTACTTGCATTCACCCCGGATCACCATATCGTATGACGCCACATACTCAGGCTTACCGTCAAGATGAAACAATACATGCATATTAAAAGTCATTGCACATAAAGCTCAACAGCATTTCAAATATTCAAAGCATGTAACACAACATGCATATGACCATACCCCCATGGGACATGGTGGAACCACAACATGGCTAAATCGAGGACACGAAAGCTTACCTTGCAAGCTAACACCCAAAGCCAAGAGTCCACAGCTCAAAGTTTAAACACAGCAGATTCACAATCTGTTATGGACCAATACTATATCAATAATAATGCACCACAAGCATATAACTTAAAGACAACGCCTTTCCTTTACGTTTTACGTCTTAAGGCTCCATACCAAGCCATAAGCCCTTAATCACTTGATTCTGACTTAGTTCATTAATTACAGAAGTTCAACTTCATCAAACTAGGGTCCACAAACCCCCAATAGCCTACTGTACACACAACACAGCTACTGTTCTACGAAATCCCAGAATATTCGGATATTCCTCGGGGACATATCCGGATATGCAATATCCGGATATCTCACAGGCAATATCCGGATATCCAATATCCGGATATCACTCTGGCAATATCCGGATATCCATATCCGGATATTTCACGGCCAAATATCCGGATATTTCGCGACAGAATGCAGTTTCTGCATTTCGCGAAGATATCCCTCCAAGGTTCCATTTATCACTTTGAAACGTTAAAGCATGCATCTTTATACTGTTTTAGGGTCATACCACTGTTGGTTACATGTTTAACTCCTTAAACATACCAAGTCACCTCTTTTACTCAACAAAACACAAGATCAAGGTTGGTACAACTTACCAAAGCTCAAAACAGAACAACAATGGCTCTTGGAGCTCACCACACTGTCTCTACAAGTCTGACCTTCAAGGCACGCGAAAAATACCACTCAAGCAAGGATCTTTCTTCACAAAGTTTGCTCCTTGGAGCTCCAACAACCAAAGAAGAAGCTCACACCCTCACACAAGGCCACTCAGCCCACAAACTGACTTCACACAGCCTCTCAACTCAGAACAAAACTCTCTACACACACACAAAGGCCACTCACACAAGGCTCAAGTGTTTGGAGATGAAGAAACCAAGCAAAAGTGACACTTGATCTCTAAAAATGGTGAAGAAACTCAAAGGAACAGAAACAAGGACTAACCAGCCACCAACTCACGCACAAAGTTGATGAATCAACCTAGGGTTGTGTGCAACTAACATATATATAGTCACTTAAGCACTAATCACACAATATTAACTTTAATTGCTACGCTTAGCATTTTAATCCCAAACTTTGGATTCTTAACCTACTCAATTTTACAAGAATTATCATATTTTTCTTATAATTTTCGGAGCACCTTTCCGGTACGTGCTTTTCATAGCCAGTACCAGTTTCCGGCACCAGTTCTCATTATTTGGACTTGAAACTCGTTTTACAAGTCCTACATATTATTCGAGTAATTATCATGCACTTATTACAATTTTTCGGGATACTTTTTTGGTACGCATTTACACCGACTAGCAGAACCGGTATCTGCACTTTTCTTCCGAAAAGCGACTTTCAGCATTCTTACTCACTAATTATAATTATTAAAGCCTCATAATAATTATTAGAGTCAATTATGGAATTATTTCCTAATTTCACATAATTAATTAATTAAATCTCTTAATTAACGGTGCGGGTTCTTACACCTTCTATTTTCTATCTTTAATGTCTGCAAGAGCAAGATGAGTTTTCCCTTCTATTCTTCCTGTCCATACATAATTTGTTTCGCATTGTTGTTGTTGTTCTTTAATTTATGTCTGTTCTTGACAGATACGTTTACAGTGATGATGAGACTGATGAGTTGGATAAGGATGTACTGTGACCCTCATAAAACCATCTTATATTTCTTCAAAGGATATTCGAAGTGTGCTAGATGCTAGACCAGTGCAACCCAACAACATAGTTTCAAAATAATTTTTCTTTTAGGAATTTTTCTTTAATTATCACTATTAATTTATCCTTCTAATTTTTTTCAATTTGTTTGTGCATATTGTATAAGTGCCTAGCCTAATTCAATATAATTAGGCATTGAAAAGCTCTGTTTTGCATGCTCATATTGAGAATATGAACCATAAGAGAAATTTGTGGCTCTTCAATTCCAAAATATACTACATGCATATGAAGCTTTTCATCTTCTAAATAAATTTATCATAATTAGCCTTTAAACCAACATCCTTTTAAAAAAAGTAAATATTCTGGAATTTTTTTTAAAAAAATAAAACAATTTGAAAAATATAATACAAAAAGAGAAACGAATTTCGTACAAGTAATTTTTAAAAACTAATTAACATAAACATTTTTAAAAATATTTAATCATTTTTTATGATTAATATCATTTTTTTATGTTTAAAATCTCATTAAAGATTCTTGAATTGAAACTTAATTGTTTTTTTATAGTATTTATCAATTATTAAAATTGATCTAAAAGTAAAGAAATGATTTATCAGTATTAAAAGCTTCTGGGTATATCTCAAATCATGGATGACAAAAATTATTTGTATTACTGCAAATTCGTACATTGTTATAGCATGTTTATCTCAATTTCTGGGTTACTACGGCAGGTTTAGCTGAAACTTTCTAAGTTCTACAATAAGGTTCAAGAAGGACTTTTTCCAAAGATTCTTGAATCTTTATAGAAATTTATATCAGAAAACTCCTCCAATTATTCCTAATCAAAAGGGTTCATTTAACACTTAACAAAAATTCATTTTCCAATTTTTTTTTGTTGAAATACTCAAGTCCCATTCCCATGGAGTTCTTGAGTTGAAAAATAAAAGTATCAAACGAATGAGTTAAAACAATCAGTAACAATGAACATCAAATATTTCACCCAATCATTTTGACAAACCCAGAAAAAGAAAGAACTAGAAACCCATTTTTAAAAACAGAAAATCAAAGATTAAAGAAAGACAAACATGCATTCAGAATTAAAACCAGAGTAAATCGTACAAATCAAAAGTACCATTTCCCAAACTAGAGCTAGGATTATCTTGCGAAAATGTAGAAGAAAAATCTTGCATGCATATCCTTGATTCTTCCTTACAGCGAAGATGCTTCGTCACTGCACTTCGAGTTCAAGAAGAAAGAAAGCACATTCAACTTTCAACAAAACAGAATCTAACAACACTCAAGGTCTTCTCACACAAAAAAAAACGTACAACAAAGATTGAAATTCTAGATCTAAAATCTGATCTGGTCTATCTTTTACAATGCACAAAATTAACTATTTCAGAAATCCTCTTTTCTTTGTAGCCATCCATCTTCTTTTTCATCCAACGGTGAAAATATGTTCCTTGCTTCTTTTTAAAAGTTGATCCACGTGCCTTCAGTATTCTTTTACCTGAGCTAAAAGTAAAATAGAGAGAACACGTAAGAAAACAAGCTAGTCACTTCTCCTTCTCTTTTTTACCTTCCTTTTTTTACATGGGCCATTTTAGTCCTCTTTTGGGCTCATTTACCTGCAAAATCAATTATTCACAGCCCAAAGAGATTTAAAATAATATAAAATAATACAATAAATATATATA